CCTTTCAGCAATGAAACCACTTGAGCAATCCTCTACGATGGGGGTATGGAGAAGTTGCTAGGTCTACACTGCGTTTCATAAATATAGGTCCACCCTAAATTTTTGCTACCCCAAAGTTGCTGTGCATTTTTTGGAAATGCTGCTATCACCATTAGATTCCTCATCACGGAAAACCTTCATAGTGTTTTTCTGACAAAGTTCCCCCCTCAAGTAACCCAATTAACTTTTTCAGAACGAATTTTCACCGTTTCATGAATATCGGGCCACTCATAAAAAGTTTCCATTTCTCACGATCCGTGAAGGGAATCAGGGAAGCGGGGATATATATGTGAGCTCAGTCGACATCGAGTTTACCATACCTCGTGTTATTCGCCTCTCTTCCCAGTAACAAGCTCAAGCCAGAGCACTTACTGAAGTGGGATGGCTGAGGAGCAGAATTTCCTCCCATGTCGGCCGGCTCATACTGCATAAGCGACTATGTGCAAAATCCTGGTCAGTGCGGAGAGAAGAGTCGCTTAGGTAAATAAAGACTGCGTTTCCTTCAAAATTTAGGAGGAATTGGGTGTCTTCTCTCGAATTATACAAGGAGTCCGAACAAAGTCCGTGCTGAAATGCGGCCTTCCGTGAGCAAAACCACCGTGTGGTGAGTAAGCCAGCAGAGCAATAACATCTTCAGCGGATTGATGAAGAGCGTTCCAAGATTATTTGAGCGCTACAAGATCGCACGTCTCCATTTCTCCGTGGAAAAGGGCTCAACTTAATGAACGAAGGTGTGGCTGTTAAGACCCTTCGCGATCTTGGACTCTACCTCCTTGTTTCGTGCTACAGGTGATCTGAGATCGACGTGAAAAAGTTTATTCTAGGTGGATCTGATAGAAAAAGAGGGTACAGGAGGATCGCGTGAAAATCGCAGATGGTTTTAATGTAACGTAATTTCGGCGGAGAATCCCTTATGGTTTGAGGCACCTTTGAACGACTGAGCGGCTAGAGCTCGCTTTTGTTTCCTTTCACAGGATTCCATAGGGTATCGTGAAGTTCTTTTGAAGCGAGTTTTACCATTTTTTCGACAACAATCCCCTCGATCCTTGATTTTTACACACGATAACGCGGCTGTCCATGCCGGTCCTTCCACGCCAGATGGAATTGCAGGAAAAAATGTGGCAGTTATCTGGTGGCCACCATGTTATCTGAATCAGATTCCAATAGAGAATCATTGGGCCTTAATTGTTATAAAGTTCCACAGCAAAGTAAAGCAAAATGGAACAGCCGAAGAGCTGAAAACGTCGATCATCGGCGCCAGACAAATTTCGATCCTACTGTAATAGCTAATTTGGTTACCAGCATTCCAAAACGTATTATTGTGTTCCTTATGATTATTGGAGGACCATCCCATTATTGAAAATTCGTGACGTTTTTTCGTTATAGTAAAATCTCTCGACAAGTGATGTGTAGTCATATTTGCGAAACGGTGAAAATACGTTCGTATGGGAAACTATTGGTAATAGCGGCATTTTCCAAAAATGCACAGCAACTTTGGAATAGCAAAAATTTAGGGTGGACCTATATTTATGAAACGCAGTGTATAACAGAAATTCGATGACTAATGGGACCATGGGTGATTATGACGCCTGAGGATTATCCCTTCAACCCCCTCCCCCTCCCTTGTGCCAGCAGCCAGCCGCGTTTCCCATTGGAAAGTTTTTTTTAGTAAGTTAGATTACTTACTCAGTTAATTTGTTGATTAGGTACGCTAAATAAGACAACGTTACAAGTGGAATAAATGCTCGCACGCAAAAAGACTATGATCACACAAAACAAGTCAAAGACACGATTGCTTGAGAACGCGCTTAGCTACCGACCATCTGAAGGATGCCAGTAAGCTTTCGAAAGTTTGCCGCTGCGCAAGGTGCAACTAGCTCTCAAGATAGCAAGATTTTGCATTGTGGTTGTCTCTGATCAAAAAAAAAACATATTTTGAACTGATCAGCCTTTGGTTTATCAAGGACTGCAGAACTGAGAAAATAACCAATATTTATTGCTGAAAAATCTGTAGAATACGCCTAGACTGAAGCGAAGATGCAATGAAAGTTTGCCTCTTAATTTATCCTTGGAATTTTAGCACAGCTATCATCGCAACAATCAGAACTTTTCTAGCAGAACTATTTTAGTCTTGCAAGAAATGTTTGTCGCTAATGAGTAGTTCCTTCTCTTGAGTGACACCACTTCATGAAGAGGTACCCGACACACTTCTTTTGTTTTCCTTTTCAGCAACCACCGCTTCACCTTCCATTCCCTCTCAGAATATCCATTATTTCTCGAAAGGGCATATAATCATGTATTCATCTGCACAGACTGTTTGTGATGCTTTGGACTACGTTTTTCGAGCAAAACCAGAACCGTGCACCGCAGTGTGGATATTATAGGCAATTAATTTGATGGAAAACACAAATTGTAAAAACCGTGAAACGCGAGTTCAAAGAAAACCTACACCAGCTAACTTAACAGACCTTTCCACTCTCATTTCCTCCAATTCAGCCTGGAGAGGATGTCCAAGACAGTCAGCAGAGTCACCCGTATTTTGCTGAACGCCATAAAGCTCGTGATAAGAATGACAATAGAGGGAATGAGTAGTATTTGCTCACCTCTGCTTTTAACGAATCTACTAGCTTCTCTTTCGCTTGCAGAATCTTCTGCGCTTTCTCCTTATACTGATCGAATTCTTTTTTATTTTCACTAAGATTGAATTTGGCGAGACGAAGCTGAAAAGTACCAGCTGAAAAAGGAATGACAGCAATTAATAATTCTTCACCTGTTCACCCATGGCACGCACTTCTTCTTCATGAGCCATACACTTTCTCTTCAACTGGGTGCATTCCTCGAGGAGGACGTCCCGCTGTTCTTGTGCTTTTTTCCTAGATCAAGTCTCCATGCAAAGAAAAACAGCATTGACGTACCCATAATAACATTGTGTGCCAGATAAAAAGAAACCTGAGGTAATTTAAGGAATAAACGAACATTTAATTTGGGACATCATATCGGGACAGCGCCAAGCGTGGTGTCGAAAAAAATCAAATAGAACTCCCATCCCTAGTAACGAGGACTGCCACTAACAATCTTTCTCCCCATAAGGACTGCACATAAAAATTTGATTTATGATGCCGGGAGTGCGTTGCCCTTGGGAGCACGCTAAACACTGGAGCAGAGTTGGAAGTTGAGGTCATTTTTGAATCGGAAAAATACTACTTTTTTCGGAGAAGTTGAGTACAAATCTGAATGAGGATTTGGAGGATTCCTGGCTAGTAATTTTCAAGAACCATGCAACATGCAAGAAATGTTTCCTACGGTAGAATGGTACACCGAGGGAAATTTATGGGACACACAAGTTTTTACAGTCCAAAAACCATAAGCTTTTTAAGACTCATTAACACGATAAAATGTGTTAGGCACTGCTAATTGAACGATTTGTTCTTTCTGATAGCTGCTGAAAAAACTCAGTACAGTTAGTATATCAAAAGCAGGGTAAACATCGGTCGAGGATTCCTCAACGGCACGTCGAGGATTTCCGCTTGATCAGTTACGCTCTCCCGCGCGGACATTCACACTCGCCATGTTCGAGCCGTCTGTGCTCACCGGGTGTATGTCAAGTGGCGCGGTCACATTGTATTGGGGCGCATGGGCTGTAGTTGCCACCCAGGCGCCACCCATATCTCGCCCAGGCAACTCGTCCAGATCACCGAGTTATTGAATTATCATGATTAATCGGTCTACAACTGGTAAACTGAGTGCAAGTGTCCCTCTCAAGGAGGGTCAACCCTATGTTGCTACAAGTAGCAACGGGGGGGGTCGTATTTTGATGAGTTTGTAGAGGGGGGTCGTACTTGCTTCGGTTGTAAGAAGTTGCATGTGATGAGTGGGGAGCGGCGTTTCAGCGCGCGTATATACCCGACAGGACCGACCCTGCTCCCAAGCTTCGCCATTCTTGACTCTTCTTCCTTCTTCCTTGCAGCGCTGGGGTCGCTCTACACACCTCAACTACACTGCGTTCAATAATGATACAGCCACCTAAAATTTGTTCGAAAACTTAAAGTTCATAGAGTTTCTGAAAAACTGTCCAGATAGAAAATGTGACAAATTTCATGGCGAGTTCAGATATCAACACAAAAATCCATGTCGAAAACACTAAAAAATTTTGTGCTTATTTTTTCAGAAGAGGTCGATTTTCCTATGTTCAAAAATGATACAGCCACCCCGTGTTTCTTCGTTGAAATTCATTTTTGCTTCATGAAACTGATTCGCAGTTATCAGGCTTTCACCTTAATGTTCCCACAAGATAAAAAAGACAGTTGGATTTTGAAAAAAGGTAAACTGTAGCAAAAAAGGACCAGGAATCGTCAAGCAGTCATATTGCGCAAAAATTGAGTCAAAGCTCCAATACGGTTAACAATCTTTTCTGGAATCCTGTAGGTTATGGAACAACGAAGAGCTCTGGATGTTCATCATTGCTTTTTGGTCAAGTTAAACTTCGCATTTTGGGGAAACATTTCAATTTCATCGAACAGTGCCCGGAATTCCAGTCTTCTTTCAGAATTAAACTTTCAATGGATATTGTTTGGGATGTGTTGAAGATTTTCCGAGGTCATTCTTCAATGGAGAATCAAAGAAACCTTGTTTGTGAAAAGAAATTCTCTCGAAAACTGAGACATTTTTTGCTCGAAAGTGTAGCCACGTCCACTGGAGCAAGATCAGTTCTTTTGTCTGTTGTGTCTTACTTTCTGTTTACTTTCTTTCGAGTTTTTCCTTCCTCATTAAGGGTTTTTCCTTTCATTAGACTCCTATGAAGCGAAAAACATTGAGAGAAACGCAGACAGAAAGTAAGACATAACAGACAAAAGAACTGATCTTGCTCCAGTGGACGTGGCTACACTTTCGAGCAAAAAATGTCTCAGTTTTCGAGAGAATTTCTTTTCACAAACAAGGTTTCTTTAATTCTCCATTGAAGAATGACCTCGGAAAATCTTCAACACATCCCAAACAATATCCATTGAAAGTTTAATTCTGAAAGAAGACTGGAATTCCGGGCACTGTTCGATGAAATTGAAATGTTTCCCCAAAATGCGAAGTTTAAATTGACCAAAAAGCAATGATGAACATCCAGAGCTCTTCTTTGTTCCATAACCTACAGGATTCCAGAAAAGATTGTTAACCGTATTGGAGCTTTGACTCAATTTTTGCGCAATATGACTGCTTGACGATTCCTGGTCCTTTTTTGCTACAGTTTACCTTTTTTCAAACTAAACTGTCTTTTTTATCTTGTGGGAACATTAAGGTGAAAGCCTGATAACTGCGAATCAGTTTCATGAAGCAAAAATGAATTTCAACGAAGAAACACGGGGTGGCTGTATCATTTTTGAACATAGGAAAATCGACCTCTTCTGAAAAAATAAGCACAAAATTTTTTAGTGTTTTCGACATGGATTTTTGTGTTGATATCTGAACTCGCCATGAAATTTGTCACATTTTCTATCTGGACAGTTTTTCAGAAACTCTATGAACTTTAAGTTTTCGAACAAATTTTAGGTGGCTGTATCATTATTGAACGCAGTGTATTGTAATGACTGTAAGGTTACTTCGAAGTGATGGTGTCACGATCATTTTGGAGTTGTGACACATCGCACTTCACAGCAACTTGCAGTGCATGATGAACTCCTCTACGAGGTAAGTATTGCCAGTCTTCTTTGTTCAGAAAACAGTGCATCTGAGTTCATTATGGCTTTATTACCACCGGTTTTTTTTCTATGGAATGCTTTGCTGAAAACTTTGTGATAAGAATGGAAATTTTTGATTTTCTGCTGAACGCCTCAGGATCATTTACCGTGTTGCAAGAGAAACCGATTGATCAACATCTTGCTGGTTTTATTTTCTACAGTTTTTTGAATAAGGATGCGCGAAAGCACGTGAAAATGGTTTTGGTGTGTTATTCAGACCACCCAAAAATTGACGCTTCACTGAACCGGGGATTCTTTCTCTGTTATGAATCCAATCTAATGAGTGTTATTTCCCGATGTTTTCTCACCGACTGCATTCCCATTCCACTGAGTGCTGCCCTCGTCAGGGTACTGGAATTCTTGATTTCCAAACCAGTAATTCACCTCTGCTTTGCCAACGGCATGTCTCGTCCCAATCTCTATGTATTTGTGGCTCCATAGGCATATTGGATGCAACATCGCACGTTTCATAGTCCCCTCTAGCAATAATTACTGAGGAATGTCATTCTAGAAAGGTGAGGCCGGACATAGCAACTCACTAAAAAAGTCAAAGAGGGCTGAGTTCGAGGAAATAGCACCAGTTTCGAATAAAGTGACAAACACTAAAATGATACAAAAGGTGATTCGGAGAAAAAATCAATAGTCTGGAAAACATCAGTTTCTGAATCTCGCTGTATATAGAAATATTAAGGCCGATGTCATAGTTTGCGAATCGAGCGATTCGCTAGCGAATCGCTGGATCCGAGCGTTGCGCCAGCGAATCGAACGTTGCACCAGCGAATCGAACTTTGCGCCAGCGAGTCGAACTATGTACCAGCGACTCAATAGTGGCGGGACCCAACGTTTAAAGGAAGCCCGCCACTTTCAAACAGTGTCACGTGACAGTGGACGCTGTTTGAAAGTGGCGGGCTTCCTTTAAACGTTGGGTCCCGCCACTATTGAGTCGCTGGTACCTAGTTCGGGTGCATGTCGTTTGGCGCGGCCCTTCGCAGCAACTTTGCCATCGGGACGCATGGACCGTAATTGCCACACTCGCTCCTCCCATGTCTTGGCCAAACAACTCGTCCACATCAGCTAACCGCTAGATTTACGTAAATGGCCGATCTACAGTGGAGCGCGCCAGAACAGCGTTCCCTCACTTTCCCAATCTCAATTCTTCTTCCGGCTTATTTCCTACGCTGACATCGCTTTGCACACTTCATCTGTTAGAATACTGTAAGGTTACTTCGAGGTGATTGTATCACAATCATTTTGGAGTTGTGATACTTCCCAGCAACTTGCAGTTCATAAAACGATTTCCGGGTCTCATCCGGTAAGAGGGGGCATTGCGGTGCACGGTCTGCTCTAATGCCAATTTGGCTCAAGGAGTCCTTTAAAGTTACGAGCTGCTATCAGCTTTTTTCCTATGTTATTTCTTCAGGTGTTTTGTGTAATGTATGTATTCTTGTACTAGATGACATTAACGTCTACGGAAAGTAATATTCACCTAGTCAGCAGGTCTGGACTCGACGGGACGGGACTGAGTCCAGTAAGTGACGCTGACACTGAATTGGTGAACTATAAAGATTAGGTATCCTCTCCACTGGAATAGATCCCACAAGTTTTCGGGCTACAGCTGATTCCGTGATCTGATGTGGACTCTCCGGTAAAATTTACCTGTGATTGTCATCCGTAATGAGTATGACTTTGCGTCCATTGCGGCCCTGTTTCATTGGATGCTCCCTTCCATTTGGATACGGAAATTGATGTTTTCCAAGCCAGTGATTTACTTCTAGTTTGCCAACGGCATGTCTCATCCCAATCTCGTTGTATTTGGATCTCTCATGGGCATATTGGATGCAACATCGCACGTCTCATAGTCCCCTCTAGCAATAATTACTGAGAAATGTCATTCTGTTGAACTGGGCATAGCAACTCGTTAAAAGGAAAACTCAAAGAGGGCTGAATACGAGGGAATAGTACGGAATCTCTTATACGATACCATTCAATTTAAA